GAATCCGAAACGTCAGGCAAATAAATCTCTTGTTCCAGTGATCGCATCTTCTCCCGAACTGCTTCCTGGGACTCGAATTAGCGCAAGTTGCTGTTCACACCTGTGAAACGAGTTCAACTTCAGATATTCGCCCACGCCGGAAACAAGACGAACCGAGAATTGACTGAAGCCTGGGAATGCAATCAATCGATGTATCCATTTAACGCTGGCGTACAGAGCCCTGCGCAGTCACGTCCAAGCATGCGTCACTGACAGTTAATTGGTTTATACCCCCCTATAACCCCCCCCTCTTTGTTGCTGTTGTTACTTCTGACGATGAACTCCTGTGCGAGTTTGAAAGTTCAGGGCAATAAACCAACTGTTTCAGCGCTCGAAAAGCCTTCTTTACCCATTTTAATATGACGTGGTTGAAAGCACGAACAGGGTCCATGAAAGGCCTGAAATTGTGGGCAAATAAGTGAGGAAATAAGGGTGTTAGTTGGGGCTGTTGGCGGTTGCCCTCTACATTCTGCGTGATGTTTTTTGGTTATTGTGCAAATGGCCGACTAGACGCATGCGAAAGTAGGGAGATGATGTGGGCAGAGGATTATGATAGCCCGCTCGGTGTAATCGACTATGGTTATCGTTACTAGATCATGTGTATTGTAGAGGTGATGGGTGGTCCACGCGAATGTAAACACGAGGCAAACATTCTCCAAAATAGATGTACCATAGTGCTTAGTTGTTGATCTTATCTTCTGCTGATTATTTACACGAAGTATGCCTAGGATTTCCATATTACTCATTACTACTGTTCAGCTGACCGCTCACTTAGAGCATCTATGTGCACCTTGGCGTTATTTTACTTCAGTACTAAGTTTATTTTGATATTACCATCTGGGTGCTGAGAATAATTTTTTGGCGAGACTGTCCTGTAGGGCGGCCTAAATATCTATGCCTATCGCCCAAATGCCTTGAGGAATTGGTGGCTAAACATAAAATCCTTGGTTAACTAGTGCAAATATGTAATTGTGTCGAAAGTGACCAAAGAATATCAAATTAAAGCCACTGGTAGTTGTTTTAATGAGCTAAATATGATCAACTCCATCAAAATAAACTCCTGTTGCTCAGGCAACTGATACCTATTAATGGAAATGCAACCTTACATTGGCGGAGTTTAACGAAAAAAGGGAAGGTCAAGCTATTGCAAGTGTTTGGCCCGATGACGAGTTGCTCCAAACATATGGTTGCCATAAACTGACTTTTAAAATCAACCATGGGAATATTTACGGAACGACTGCAAAATATAAAAGTCACTTATCATTAGAACCTCTAAAGTCCTAACTTTTAAAAAATTTATTTAACTCTAAAATGCCACGCTTCAAAAAGACTAGAATGCCCGATATAATTAACCCATATCGCTATACTGGAGCATCGCAATGCGTCAAGGCTACAAACAATGTCATAGGAATACTGCAAGTTATCAAAAGGAAGTTGGTGATCATCGAGAATGATCCCTTTGGTTAATTCTACGGCACCTTTGTTTGGCCTCACCAAAAATATGACGTACAGGCGTGATGGCAATGGCTCACAAAAGGCAAAATATTTACTGAGAGACCTATTAAGAGATTGCTAATGAGGATCTCTGGTGGACATAGAATAGTCTGCCCATATTATTACTCAGTTATAGTGTATCTGGCCACTCACTTAGCGCACTAATGTACAGATTGTCATTAGTTTATCTCAGTCTGTTTTGATAGGGCCCTCTGGGCGCTTAAAATATATCCATTTATCCATTACTTTCTTATTTACTACAAAACGGAAGGATTTGTTAGGGGGCCACTAAGCAGAGCAAAGATAAGGATTGACAAGAAGGCAAACGGGAAACGTACCGAATAGATATTGCACCCACGAAAGACTTGTCAAAAAGGACCTCGAGGCGTTCTTCACCTGTGAGAGGCACATGACACATAGTGGAGTAGAACAAGAAGAATAGCAGAAAAGAGATGAAACACGAAAGCTACGCCACGTGCACGCTCGCAAGAAGAAATGGCAGGGGAAAAATGGTAAAATAAAAAAAGGAGGCGAGAGGAAGCAATGAAGGGAAGCAAAAAAAGACGGGTAAAAGAGGAATGAAATAGAGAAAATTGACATCGGGGGGGGAGGGGGCAGAACGCACCGTTGACGGAGTAGCAACCAATGACCACTCCGAAGACGCCAAATAACTCGCTGGAAGGCCCAACGTAGATGACACGATCCAACAGGCGGAAGACGTAAAGTCTCTTTTTCACCGTCTTTAGCCATTCCAGATATGGATCTGGCACCAGAAGGTCACCGCTGGGGAGGAGCTGAAATACACACACGCAGAGGGGCAAACAATTGGAGACAAGTCAAAAGAATGTACTAGACAGGATTTGACGGGAACCAGCTCACAAAAAAGGGCAGGTTAGGCTGGCTGAAAGAATTCAGCTGACAGTCGGCTTGCTGAGGACGATTGAGGCCTGGCGATGTCCAGCATGAAACAGTAGTACTTGATACGGCTGTGATTATGCCTGATCTAGCCGACCTCAAAGAAACAGTAGCCTAAATAGTACAGTCCACCTTCGGCAGTCTTTGGGGGTCAGAAACCACAATTAGCAGCGAATACTTAGACTCCCTCTAAAAACACTTACAGCTGCCCACTTTACCGTCGAAACATCAAATATACCCTAGACTATCATCCTAAAATACTTAAATACTGCTTCATTTGACCCAGTAATGAAAAAACCCAGCGGCCTGGGTGGGATTCGAACCAACACCAGCCAGCGAAAGGCAAAAACTTTAGCCACTGGGATCCGTGAGTTTAATTCACTTCGGTCCACCAGGCACTGGTGCTAGTGTGTCTGGTAGTCATCTGATTGGTGGATATCGTAAGTTGCAGTAGGCAGGGAAGGCAAATTTACTTAAGTATGATTAAACTCACGGTGTCCGGTGCAGGTCTCGCAGCTCAGTTGACTAAAGCGTTGGTTATTCTGAAAGTTTCCCCCTTCAGAAGAAGACGACTCGATCGCTGAGACAGTACTTTTATTCGCCTGACGTTTCAATATCCATCGCGGATTCGTCAGCAGAGACATAGTCAGAGTAGTAGCAGGTAGGGTAATGTATGCACAAGAGTTTGCAGCATTTATAGAATACAGTCATTAATGCAAACATACAGCGACAATTAACCGTAATTGCCTTCTTGAGTGTTGGTGGTTGAGAAGACCACGACTCGATCGCTGGGACAATACTTTTATTCGCCTGACAGACCACCAACACTCGAGAAGGCAATTGCGGCTAATTGTCGCTGTGTTTGCAGTAATGACTATATTCTATAAATACTGCAAAATCTTGTGCATACGTTACCCTACCTGCTACTACTCTGACTATGTCTCTAATGATGAATTCGCGACGGGTCCCGAAACGTCAGGCGAATAAAAGTACTGTCCCAACGATCGAGTCGGCTTCTTCCCAATTACTCCCTGGGACTCGCATGTTCGCTTGTATTGGCAAGTTTCCCCTCGCTGGCGTGGGTTCAAATCCCAGCGAGACATTACTCAAATCTGTCAAACCCCTGCTTTACTATTATTTCAAAGACATATTACAACACTAACCTTACAAATATATGGTTTACAGCTACGCGTGGACAAATCTACAATCGTTACGCTTACCAAGGCGAAAACGACGTCAGTTACCCCTATATTTAGGCACGTATATTTACCCTTACTATTTGCCAATTATTGAACCACATTTTACCACAAAAATATTCTTACCCACGAATTAGCGAATATTTAGGAAGGAACAGGCACAGTTCAACCGTACATTTCTAAAAGAAGCGAACACGCATAATTACTTTTAACTTAGGGGACGATACTTCAATTGGGGGGTGCACCAAAAATAGTAAGTATAAGCAAAATAGGGGAAGTGTAGGCAAAAGAGTGGGGCGGCATGAGGATGACAGTTCCGGCATCTACACCAGACTTAAAAAGTCATTAGGTCCTCCTGGCATGAGAGGTATGCACAGCATCACTTCAGTCACATGGTATAATGAAAAAGGCATTCTGCAGTGGGCCGACGGTAGCTGCCCGGGGTTGGCAGAGGAGACCTAGACGCTGGTATGGGTTACAGAAGAGGGAGACTTTGGCAGCCGGAGCCCCATTCTCTGCCTACAGCCATCACCTTCCAATTAAAACAGAACGTGGGGAGTGAGCGTGGACGAAATGGCTGACCACCCATTTGTGCTCAGTCCACAGACCTTGCTAACTCGAACGTCGGGCTATTAAAAGTCGCTGGAGGGATTCCTCTAAGGCGGGGTCATTGCAGTCTGCAGGATGGAAGTAACCCCCTTAACTGACAACTTTAAAAATTGCAGTAAGTGCTCAAAGGCACGTCAGATTCATTGTACAGAGGGGGAGGGGTGGGGCTGGAGATGTTGCGCAGAAGGAACAGTTTCACCTGTCTCCCACGCCAATTGTGAACTGCGACAAACCAACTCGGGGGGAGGGGGAGGAGATGAAACACAGCCGCTGGCACTACGTAAGGTCTCTCCTCCCCTCCCCCCATTTTTGCCCCACATGGACCAGGCGATAGATGCGTCGGACCAACAAGGGGACCAAATCGGGGGCAGGACACGTGTTATA